AACAGTAAAAGGGTGTTCATAGAAGTCCCTGCGTAACATCACATGATATATTTTATATAAATATTTTTGTTGTTGTTGTCAGTAGTGTACATTAGGGTGTGTTATGTTATTTAGTTGGTGTTTATTGCATTATTTTAATGTCCTTTGTGTTACCATGTGCACCGTCTGTAGTATTGGCCATGTGTTATGGACAGGATGCATCATATGGCTTTCTGATGTATTATAGTGGTATTATTACATTTTTAGGTAGGTTTTGGTATCATTTGGTAAATTAATATGACATCATTAAGGAAATATATGCTTATAAGTTTTAAAATAAACAGTACAGGCACCAATATGCTGTTCCCTAATACTTGAAAGTGAATTTCTGGCAATCATAGCTGCCAGATTTTACCGTAAATTTAACATGATATTTTTTACAATCTAGTTTTATTTTTGAACATCTGTTACTGTATGTCTTGACTACAAAAATGCTATTGAACATCTCCTCTGTTATTGCTAAGGGGAAAACAAAATACAGTTATTTGAACACATAATGAGCTTGTTTCATTAAGGTTAGTTTTCGAGGAAAACCTGCTAAAAGCCTATTATAGATTTTTTTTTAACTAAATATAAATCATAATTTTAAAATAATGTATGCACAAAAAAATGTGAACTGGAAATATATTAAAATATCAAACAACTGATCTGGCCAACAGAAATTATAATGTGGACAGGTAAAAGCATTTTTTTCTTGAAAGCCACTGACAATGAATATGTAATGTAACATTGTATGTATGTAATTTAATTCACCTAAATTTCACATTTCTTCTAATGCACAAATCTGTACGCCTAGGGCAAACACGTGACGAGCTAATAAATGAACACTGCTAGTATTAATGATGTAACAGACTCTTCGTGTATAAAATGATGCTCCTGTAATTCACTTTAACATTGATTGTGTGTGAATGTATGATTCTGTCATACATTTTGTTCCTTGTAAATGTTCTGTATAAAAACAGATGAGGGTCAAAGGTCATACTGCATCTTAGGGAGCCTGAATTAAATGAGTTCTTCTGTCTCTTTCCATTCTGAGGCTGGAGTGGTCAGGTACATGATGTTTGAGAGGTTGACCATGCTGAATATCCAGAGCACCTCAAACTGGAGTGGAGCAAATGACTGGTACCATCAGCAGAACGCAGTTCCCAGCCAGCTCAGCACTGGTGAGATGCTCGACGCCTGATATATGTCTGACCTCCTCTGGCTGTATATAAGACACAATAATAAGGCACTAAAATATGTGTGTGCAATTGTTGTGTTTTAAAAAACAGTATTTTTTTACCAGTCAAATGCTTTGACAAACTGGACTGAATTTCTGTTTCTAACATTTTGAAGAAAAAGCTTATACTCAGGGCCGTCCTTAGCTGATGCGGGGCCCGGTGCGAGGTAGGAAGTAGGGCCCCCCCTCTGTCCGTTCGCCGCGAGGCCCCCTCAAGTGTTGCACCCCCATAAGGACGGCCCTGCTTATACTTAAAGGGACAGTTCACTCAAACATTAAAAATCTGTCATCATTTGCTTCCCCTCATGTCATTTCAAGCCTGTATAAATTTCCTCTGTGGAACACAAAAAGGAAGATATTTTGAAGAATGTTGGTAACCAAACAGTTTTGGACCCCATTGACTTCTATGAACCAAACATACTATGAAAGTCAAAGTGATGCAAAACTTGGTTCCCAACCATATTTATTATTATTTTGGGTATATTTTGTGTTTCACAGAAAGAAATACATACAAGTTTTGAATTAAATTGTTGGGTGGACTATCCCTTCAAATGCTTGAAATTGAACCTGCGTATAAATTTATTTCAACTAAAATTGTACGTTTTTTTTTTTTTTTTAAAGAATGGTGATTTTGAAGAAGCTAAAATTTAAGACTTTTTTATTTGTTTAGCAATTTTGCTTACTACGACTTTTGTTTTGGTTTTGACTATTTATTATTATTGTAAAATAGTAAAATACTTTTTATGAACTAATCCTTAAGAATGCATATAATGATTCCCTGCTTCCACACTTTCATTCTACAGATTAGCAACTTTTTAAAAATGTATTTATTTATTTTAGTGTCAGATGGCTGCCTGGTGGGGACGGATGGGAGGATGGCAGGAGAAGGAGGGCATGTGGAAAGAGATGAGGGAGAAGAGTCTCAACTGAGGCTGCAGCTGAAGAGGAAACTTCAGCGCAACAGAACCAGCTTCACAACAGAGCAGATCGAGGCCTTGGATAAGGGTAAGAAAACAGACACAAATTTGAATTACCGGTATATTGCATTGAATGAAAAAATACAAATAAAAATAAAACCAAGCATTTATTTCAAAGAAAAAAAAATTAACTACTAAACTTCATTTAGA